TTTGTTTGTTTGTTTGTTTGTTTGTTTGTTTGTTTGTTTGTTTGTTTGTTTGTTAATTAAAGAATTTGTTTGTTCTGTCTATAAATATACACTGTATTGCTTTCATTTTCTAGGTTAAAGAATTCCTTAATTTGGACGGTAAAAACTTAATGAACCAAGCAATGCACGACAGCACATTGGAAGCCATACATGATAACGTCATTAAGAAACACAAGGAGGCCGAGAAGCACATTAACATGGAAAAAGCAACGAAATGGCTGCAAAGATACATGAAAAAAATACGAAAACTAAAACCGAAACAATAGAAATATTTTTGATATGTTTAAGACCAACTTTAAGACTTGCTATACATATATAGTGATAGAGAACAAAGGTTATAGGGCAATCTTCGGATAGTTATTCAATTTAGTACTTTATTACTCCGCCCTTCACTGCTAAATATCAAATTATTAATATTATTCATAATTAAATAATTGAATGGTTCAATCACTCCGACATTGGCGACAAGCTAAGCAGGCCAACTCTGGAATCTTCTTAAATCGCATAAACTCGCATTATCTCGCGGCTATTTTAGGCGCGAGTTACCATCCCAGGCCTCTGATCCCAGGCCTAAAGTAGGCCTAAAAGCATGCAGATATAGAAAGTAGTGGGTCTTTATATTTTTAAGGATATACGTTCTCATCGATTGTGCCAAAAAGTGATGAAAATATGTATCAGTATAATTCCAGTTGTCACGTGAACGTATTGGTACAAGAGATCTAGCGTTCCTCAGGTTCCGAAAACATCGAGGTTGCCATGGTGTCGGAACCGACCATAAAACATCAAACTTTTATAATTAAAATGTTCAACACTCGTCAACAAACTGGGGATGTCACATCCAATTAATCGTACAATTACTTCCCACTCCTTCCTGCAAATGTCCCAGTATGATTAGGCGTTCCTCTACAGAAGTAACTGTATCTTTTCTTTTAAGACCATCTTGTACCATCTATATGTCTCGGGCAGTAAATATGTGGTCCTAACATTTAAAGGGGGTTCTTCAAGGGAGGCTTTGGGGCATGAACCGCCAGGAAATTTCGATTCTTGGTTCCCTAAAACGCGATTTCTTGCATTTTAAGTGATGTTATAAATACGCATTTGATTAGAGACGAATATTTAGAATAACAAGGGTTTCTGGGATATCGTGTTTATATACATGCCAGTTTTTGGTATGTATAAACATAGTTCTATACGCATTTGATTAGAAAAAAAAACATTTGGGGTGAAAGTGCTATGTAAACACAATACTAAGAAACGTAGTGAACTTTTTAATCGCGGCCTATGTGAACAATATAAAGTCACAGGCTTATGGAGATTCACTTCAGCGGGAAAAAAACAACTGTGAGAAGTTTCTATAAGCTTCAAAACAACCGCCCTCTTTATTTATAGCTCTTATAACGAGCACGGTATAAAACATGGCTGTTGTAACATGAATTCCGAACTGAAGACTGAACTCAAATCTCCTGCAGTTGCCCCAGAAGAAGTACATCGCTATGGCGATGCAATTCTTTCGCCATTTTAACTGTATATAACTGTATGTGTAGCCGTGGTGTAGCTTACATACCATTTTACTCGTTCAATCTTTGACAGACTTTCTTCTCCTAAGATGCAAACAGCGCTATACTGGTACTGGTTTATAGTGTTCTAACATACATGGTATAACTTGAATTCGAAGTATTTCAACTGATTTATCCACTTGTTATTGTTTTAAAGATTGGAAGGTACCCTTTGCAAGATTAGAAAATATTTCACATTTTCACTCATGAAATGCGGAGATTTGTTGTCGTTTGAGAGTGATAATAAAACTACTCAAAGCCAAAGGAAATGTTTCTCTATTTTTGAAGTGACTGGAAGGATTGCATATCCTTGAATCTATTATTTTTCGATCTAACAAAAAACGAGACAAGTGTTTAGAAAAAAACTGTTCGGTTGTATTAGTCGTGATTATCAGTCAGCATCATGTCTTCACTGGCTGAATATACTATCTTGCGGAATGTATTCAAATATGGAAAGAATGTTAAAAATTCGCTGGAACTACTGTGGACTAATACAGCTTTCCCCCTATACGTTCCTACAGCAATCTTAGAAAGCTAAAGATTGACAACAAAGTTGAATTGGTCGGAATGGCAATATTGCCCAGGGTATGTACTGATGTACACACTTTGAACATCACTTTCGAGTTGTGATAAATTTTTACTTTTCGCGCGAATCCAGACGTAAAATGCAGTCCTTATGCCTGGCCTATATGCACTATTCTCTGCTTCTAAAGCTAGAAATTCGTAAACCGCAAAAGCCTCCCGGTTGTTCCGGTGTTCAGAAAATAATCTGCCCTCTCAAGGATGGGAAAAGGTGGGAACTATGAAAATATTTTATCAACCAGACGAGGAAAACAGGAAACCGCACAACCCGTATAATAATATCTGATCAAATTTTTAATAAATAAAATATTCTTCTATATTTACATATCTATCCAACAGTTTAATCATTTAAATAAATGCAAATCCATAGTTCGCGAAGGTTCGTTGTTGTTCACTATTTACGAGTAACGCGAATAAATATTTACAAATGTGCACGTGAACGTGCATCGGTTTAGTGGCTAGACGATTGTAATTTTCCCAATAGCTCGCGTATCCCTAGTAGAATTGCGCGAAGAACATCCCATGCTAATGGCTAGCGTTTTATACTCTTATCACTTGCAAAGGAGTTCACATATCAATCAACTCAGTAATTGCCGACCCCCGATCGCGCCGCACAGTTCACAGACGCTTCGGAAAGACTCAATAACAGATGCGATGAAAATTAGACACGTCGTAAACCGTAGTTATAGGCAAAATAAACCTTTGCATGGTTAGCAATTGGTGGTAAAATCAATGTTATTTTTGCTAGTAAGACTGACTGCATTGTCAGCGCTATTTTAGAAAATCACAGTTGAGATTTAGGAGAAACTGCGAGATAATGTGGCTTTAATTGCAGCCATATTGCGAATAAAACTCGGCAAATTGGCCACACCAGTTAACATATGGCCAACAATAAAAAACTGATTAGGCATAAAGTCAGGACTTTGATACAAATCATAACAGAAAACGATTTGAGCATATAAAGTCAAGATTTTATATCAATTTTGCGATACTTTTTCTACAATAGAAAACGACATGATGTAGACACCGAGTCTGAAATACAAATTTGTCATTGTTTATGCAATTTAGATGCCTTTGCAGTCATTTTTGGGTATTTGCTTAAGTGGTTAAAGTGTGAAAAGAAATTCAAAAAATACAAATATTTTTGCGTGACACAGCGAACTCATCCGAATGCTATTAAAGTAAATTGACCCGTCATTAAAATAAATTTCTCACGGAAAGCGGTACCACCGAAAATGCAAACCATGTAGAGGTTTTGAAAACAAACAAAATTTCACGGGTGCAACTTTAGCAAACAAGCGCGATTTATCGCCCCTGCCCACGTCATAGCGTAAGTGGGATTTGAATTAATCTAAAAGATTGGTATGCGCGATAACAGTTTCAGCAATTTACACTCCAAACATTGATAGAAACAATCTGCTCTTATCTGCATTTGAATGTAATATGGGAATAGTATCATGTAACAGCGAAGTTCAAGTGTGGGGATGTTTATGTTACGAGTCGCCAAATTTGCGCAATAATTTCATAATAAATTCAAAATTCAAGGCTGATTTCCAGTTTTGCATGAATGTATATGTACACGCACGAAAAAGTGTAAATCGTTTCAAATTTTGTAATAATTTACGGCTCGACTGCTGAACAAATACAAATGCTGCACATTTGTTCAAGCGCAAATATATGAAATAGTTGGATATGACCTGAAATTATGAGTTCAAATTAGGCTTGGGTTATAATTATCTCTATCATAAAGAGGTCTGATAAAATTCAACGACTAAAATCGTTTCTATAAGGACCGAATTTTTTGTACAAAATCATTCTGGGTGATATTCACTAGTGCACAATTGAGCTGAGTCATGAAATCTAATATTTTGTTTTGGTTTCGCAATTTTGTATGGCGAAGGGGATTAAAACAAACTATATATGGCGATTGGTACAAAATTAATCCTGTTAGGTGTGAATTGGTGTAGGCTTATGACACCATACATGTATATATGCACTATAATATTTATTTAAAACATAGAAATAACAAAAACAACCAGAAATAAACTCAGGCACTCATCTTACACTCTTACTAATTCCATCACAATAACATTGGCCTGAAAACTAGAATAATTTGCGAAGGACAATTTTGTACCAACTACAACATATTATTTTGGCTGTTTCAACCCACTTGTTTTTAAACTTCATCTAGTACTCCCTGTTGAGACCATTTTGCTTTGGCACTTTGCCTGACAGTCGCAACGGGAATAGCTACATTGAAGGCTTATCTTAAAATATCAGCGATGACCGCCATGCAAGCAGGATAGAGCCATAAACTGGTCGAGATATTTTCGTGTTGTATTTCCAAAATACGGAAATGCACCGCTAAATATGAAATCAATCTTAATGTATTTAACCGTTTAAGCCAAGATCTTGAACTTAACCCCAAGCGAGATTTGTACCTCAGTTTCAGGCAATATTCTCTAGTTTTCAAGTTATATTTTGATGTGTTCGAACTAATCTCATTTAGTTTATACGAATTGCGCTGGTCTTTGAATTCTATAAGCAGAGGTTTTGAATACAAAACGCAAATTTGGCAGCACTATTTTGATATTAAAACGTAAACAAATACACAATCAAGTTGTTTTCATTTAAAAGAGTATTGGCAATTAATGATACTATTACCGTGTTTTGCCCCGCGAAATTTTGTTTGTCGGCAGATGGTAACTTTGCCTTAAGCAAGCCTAGAGGTCATGAAGTAGAGCGCGTGAAGTTCATCCGTAGCTACCCTCGGCGGTTCCTTTTTGTTGTGTGTTCCGTTGGCACTGGCCACCGTGAAAGACTTCACAAGTTTCCTGCGTGTACAGACACCAAACTGTTCCCGATGAAATTACAAAAACTTCGATCATCGAATCCATCTTTAATGCTGTCAACAGGAGCGCCGTTTTTGATTAAAATTTCCGCGCATTCAAAGTTCCCAGCACAGACGGCAGCCTCCAAAGCGGTCATCCCTTCTGGTGTCGTAATGTTCAAATCCGCGCCGTTTTCGACCAAAATTTCCGTGATTTCCTCGAGGCCCGAAAACGCCGCTTGGTGGAGCGAGAATAGTCCGAGTTCAGCACCGCGATTTACGTTAATTCCGTCTACTTTAACAAGTTTTAAAATTTCGTCAATGTTGTTCTCGAGCACGGCCGAGTGTAGTAGAATCTCAGGCATTAACGACACAGCTCGTTTTTCTTGTCTGTGTAAGTTTATGTTTTCGTTTATAGCATCTGAGAATGTCTTAGTAGACTTTCCACTCGGGGAGCATGGTGATAAGGGAAAGGAATAGCGGTTAAAGTCTGTCGGGTTTAGTGGTGTGATGTTCTCTTTAAAAGCCATCGGACGATTCTTCATGTTGTTGCTTTCGTTTGACGGCACACCGTTGGGAAAATGTCTTGCATGTCTTCTTGTGTGTAGGTTCTCTGGTCTAGCGTTGCGACTTAGTTGATCGTGCATGGTCGACGTTACAATATTCTGATCCGTCTTCAATATAGTACACCAACGAGTTTAAACAGATTTAATTTTCACGTGTTGTCGTTTCCAATCTAGCTAAAAAGGCTTGCAGTTCCCTATAAGGCTTCCGAACCTGCTGCGTTGAAGATGCAGAGCGATTTTTGACTCCCTTTGAGCGCATACAAAAGCTATTCTTCCTTATATACAATGCGACGGAACCCGATAGGTCGGATGCACAGGGAAGCGGTTCTTGATTGGTCGGGCGTTTAAGCGGGTCGTTTCTGATTGGTTGAAAGCAGACAAAGATGACAGGTGATTGGTCATTTAGCGAAGACAGGAGGCGGAAACGATTAATCCGGCGAACAAACAACGTTTGAAAGCTGTTCGGGGGTGCTTATCAAACTTGACACACACAGGCCCAGTTTCCGACAGCGTTACACAGACCGATTGCAATGCGTGGTATTAAAAAGGCTTACCTATTATCAGGGCTAAGCTATGCCGTCATCTGATCACGATGTATCGAATCCTATCCTTTTACAGAGGCCAGAGGGGCCCGACGAAGTGCCTTCGAGCCAGGACCGACAAAGGGCCTTCGCTCGAAACGTCGAGGTTCTCCTTGTTTTGTTTTTTTCAGGTAGTTTTATCCCATCAGTCCGAAGCTTTCTCATTATATTGGTCGGTCCGAGTACTATTTATCACTTTGCCTTGCCCAAAGAAGTGTCTAATTTTACTGTTATAACTAAATCCGTAAAAGGATAAATAACCAATTTCGACTCATTTAAACCAGGAAAGCCGAAAGGAAAATTGTATATCGACGCATTGAATACTATACGTCCTTTTTACTTACATATAGGATGACAAGCGCAATGCCATGCCAAGCCCTAACGAGTGTCTGATCTCACAAACTCTGTATAAATACAACTGAATCGGTTTTGACTACAACTGGACTAATCTGCTATATCAATTAAACGGAAGACTGAAGCTTGTTATTGTATGAAATACACATATAGTATATTTATAGGGATCATATATAGTCACGATGACTTGCTCTAAGACGTGTCTGATCTGATAAACTGCATCCGTAACGATGCAAATTAAGAAGCCGAATTTAGACTTAATTCTTCTTTTAATATCTACACTACTAGGAAAGCCGAAAATCCACTCATTGAAAACTGTTATTGTACAACAAGTATATTTCCTTCGCCAAGGCAATCCTACATGACTAAAACCGAAAATGTACTTCTTATTGTTATAGAGGATGACGACTACAATGCTTTGCCCTAAGGAGTGGCTGAACTTATGAACTAGATCCTTAAAAATACAAAGAATTAACCAATTTATATACACTCAGTTTTATGTTTTCAGGAAAACCGAAAATTCACTTCTTATTGTTATACTTATAGTCATATAGAGGATGATAATTACAATGCCTTGTCCTAAGGAGTGCTGTTGACCTTATAAAACTATAGAAAATCGTCGACAATTGTTATCACGTACAAAGTGTGCATTATATACTTAAAATATAGACGACAATGCTTTTACCTATATAAGGAGTGTCAGTAACTGTTAATAGAGAGGTTAAGATTGACGATTACGGCAGACCGGTAAGTTCTAAGTGTTCTACAAGTTTCCCAAGGTTTTGACAGGTGTTTAGTCAATTTATTCTTCAATTTTGATGCACAAATTGTCCTAACTTAATCGAACATGACCTGTACAGTTGATCTCAAAATACAACTTGTGGTTAGAGGTTATTGTAAACGTCAATCTTAACCTCTCTAATATCCGTAACTGAAACCCGTAAAAGAAACAATCATGTACCAGGAACACTGAAAGGTCGTTCAGTGGCATTGAAAAGTAATAATAATATTCAATTTCTATCACACCATTACTATTAACTAGTGCATATAGGAATGATAGGATATTTCATACAGAAATACATCATCAACGACGCCGGAACGATCTAAAGGCAAGGGGGGCAGATTTTCGTGAAAGGGCACTTTTGAATTGATATATCCTATTAGATGTTTACTGAAAACCGATTGGGAGTTGAACTTCGCCTATTAAAAATCATGTTTTCTATTTATTGGATGATAGGGGTGTGAGGGGGTTCTCCGCCAGGCGATTGTGCTATAACTGCTATTTTTGAAGCTCGATGACTGCATTTCTTGCGTTTTCTGAAGCAAATTCGTAAATGAATTGCACTAACATTTCTGACAATTCGCTATTTCGCCAAGGCAATCCTTTAAATTGAAAGGGCACCTTTGCCTCCCTTGCCCCTCCTGGTAAAGGGCAACGGGGCGGCTGCCCCTCCTGCCCCCCAGTTCCGGCGTCCCTGTACATTCATTTAATGAAACTAATTATACTACAGCTAAACCAACGAAAATCTTGGGTAAGTTATATATACATATTTGGCTGCACAATTTGTTATGCCTTCGTCATTCATATAGTCATACAATCAACAGAAATGAGATCGGTTTTTCCTAGTGATTTAAAGCTACTATAAACCGCTTTTAATTAAGAAATTTTCTCGAAGATTTACTATCTTATCATTATTACAACTTAATGATATTCGTCACCAACGTCAGTAGATTTACAAATAGGACATACACGTAGAATGACATGACGAGGAATTAATCTGGCTAGTGTGTAGCTATATACATGCCATGTATCACGCTTTATATTGCATGTGAGACGATTTTTATCAAAATCAATCCTACTTCAGTTCCTTATACGATTTTAATTGTTCATGCATGAGAGTGTTTCTACTTGTGGTATTTCAACATCATAATCATGCATTTAAACATGGTTTGCTTAGAATGCAGGTTCGCCTAATATAAGGTTAATTCCAACCAGCATATTCTGGTCATGGAAGGAACTGATCCAGGCAGACACTCTCTGATCTATGGATCTCACGGTTTTCTCATAATTTTCTATTGTAAATGCAATCACATATATGAACTTATATTTTACGAGTGCATGTTGCATCAATGACTTAAACGATCCGTTTAGGAAACACACAACGATATGACGTTTGTGATGTTACTCTGAGACTCCGAGTGTGCGACCACCGTGGGAATCGAACCCGCGACTTTACGATACTAGTCGTGGGTTCGATTCCCACCGTGGTCAGGCGGAAAACTTTTCAGCTTGCCCGGTGTGGATATACTACTCAGAGTAACATCACAAACATCATATTCACCTGAGTATACAACACCAACACACAAAAAGTATACGATATATTTGGTAGCTGCGTGCAGTCTCGTGACATCTATCAAACGATATTACTTATCAGGCTAAGCCGTAAAATCGGTCGCATATCGTATACGTTACATAGACATAGTATTTTTTATCAACAGTGACGGAAGAAACAGAAGATATGCGGGCTAAATGTGCAGAAATGCACGGCCACATTTTCTTATACCAATAGTCAATACCTCATGACCAGTACCGTGATTGATAAGCAACGGTCAAAAAATGCATACTATTCTGACACACAGATTGATGAACATAGTTATTGCCTTGCATGCAATGATTAACATTTCCGTATCAGAAACGAGAACATATGATCCTGTTAACGTTTCTTGAAAATTATCTATCAGCATATCAGACAAGTGAAAGCCGGATATTTAAGTTGAAATATTCTGTTGAACTCCTAAAGACAATTACGAAATTGCATTAAATGTTAATTAAAGTCGTTGTTCTCTCTAATTAAATGTTTTCCAATTACGTATGTCCCATAAATATGCGACATACTTTCTGAATATTTCTGACACTTTGTCCTTTTGCACATTTAAGTTGACGTTTTACAATATTTTGGCCAAATGTACCTTTCATCGGGCTGTTTGAATATTTTTTTCTTACAGACAATAAATATAGTGAGAGAGCGCCTGATTATTAATACGAAACCATCCTGACCGCGCATCAGGCTCTGTATTTTTCTAATAACTTTTTTGCCCTCTTCGCACCCGTAGTTAGCGTCAGAACCCCATGACCATGTAACAATTGGCCGCGAGGGAGACTATAAATGTAGTTCCGATGTATCTACCTCTCTTGTGGCACTCGTCAACAAAAAGAGCAGATTTTCAAACTGAATCCCCTTGAGAAAATCCTGACTTAAGTTGGGAATTTCTCCACCTGTTGTAATGAAGAAGGTACTGATCTATTCAACGTTCGAACGAACTCACTGACATTGTTGGTGACTTTTGGTTGTTTGTGTTTTTCGTACTAAAATAGCTCTGGGATTTTATGCGTGACTATAATGCTGATGTCGAACACTGTTTGAGATAAAACTCAGGCTAGACTATACCAACATGTTTGTAATGACCTCAATGTCAACTGTTTAATTGGGAATGGTAGATTTGGATAATGAATAACCAAAATACAAACGATGTTCAAATGAAATCAAAGATAACATAATAAATCAGTTAGCGGTTGTTTATTTCACTAAGGGATGCGTGCGGGTCTGTGTTTCCTAATTGATTTTATCAAACAACGTTAGACGTTCTCCCGCGCGAGTATATTCCGGTTTCTTCTCATGTGGTATCATTGCTATTTGACCAATTAAGGGCGACAGTTGCTGGACGTCTAGCTTGGGGAACGGTTAAGACTGATAGAGCTATTTAGTATAAACAAGTTGTATAAACCGAACTAGCTAAATTGGGTTTCTCCCGGAGTTTTGTATAAAACATAATTAAATTTCCTCTTCCGTTTCAGAGGGGATACCCCATCGACACTATTGATGCTAGACCATGTTGGACCAGTGGCAGTTCAAATGTTCTTTTGTTGTGCGTTCTTGGTGGTACAGCAATTTACGCACTAATGTGCCTTCCACCGCTGGTGTAGTCCTAAAATTTAACCAAAGGGGGCTTTTCCAGGGGGGGGGGGCATGAAGCATGAACCACTAGAAAATATTCGATTCTCAGAGTTGCCGGGTCTCTGAACCAAATTGGCCCAACCAACAAACGGTAGGCTAACTTGTATTTTACATGGCCCGATCAAGTGTTATAACAAGAGCAGCCAGCTCGAGTGGTTTATATCTGATAAAGCACGTTTCAAATGGCTTACAAAGCGACCCATCTAAAGAGTTCATTGGCGAAGTCATTTTAAAACGTTGTCTAATCCGAGAAAATCGAAGCTAAAGTTTACGTAAATGAACATGATTTTTTGTCACATGCAACACCACCAGTGATTTCCTTTGTCTTTTGCTCATCAACTTATTAATGAGTTTTTAATAATTTTAGCAGATTTTAATTGATGCTTTTCCTGTTGTTGCAGGGCTATCATGCCCGGAAGGCAAGTGTAATAATTGACTTCGCCATTTACAGTCATCCGACTTGTATTTTTAAAATTTCGCCAACATTCTTATAAATCCTTGTCTGAATGCAGTCCTACAAGAGTATCGCAGGATCGTCATATCTTACGTCGTTTGCAACGATGCGACTGCACGGGGGCGGTTATACAAATAACAAATCCTAATTAAGAAAATGTTTAGAGGGCTGGAGGATTGCCGTAATGATTAATTAAAAATCCGAAAATTGTGTTGATAAACGAGGCGGTTCCCGAGTTCCTTAACATATTCTGTCAATTCAGAGCCGAGTTTCAAAACAACAACAAGAAGCGGTGCTGATTTTTTTTCTCGTAAATTATCGAGTTTTAAAAAGAACAGTATAAAACGTCGTTAAATTCAGCAAGGAGTTTGGAATTCAGCGAGGAATTTAATTTGGTTATCGAAAAATCTAAATCTTGTTTTGCCAGTTTATCGATAATTAATGAGGCAAAATTCGCAGGTTATTTGTCATTATGACACTAGATTCAGCATTTTAACACTAACTGAATCCGTCTAATACAGAAAAAGATTTATTTAATATACAACAGTTAATAACGGATTTAATCAGTGAACATGCCATTCCTGCCGTGGTTAGCTTCTAAATTAATGGCGGAAACATTTCTCTATGATTTTGGACTGGTAAGATGTAATTTGTTTCCACCAAAAAGGCGACAAAATGCCTGAAGACCCTTTGACTTAAACTTAACAATACTTCAATAAGTCAATGGGAAAATGTATGAATGGATAAATTACCAATCATCAACCCCTCCGCAAAGCTTTTGAGTGCATTGACTCAAAGTGATCTTATCTAAATACATGGAGATTGACTGATATGCGCTTTCGCAATTATTGTAGAAAAAAGTTAATGTCGCGTTTCAAATTTCATAAAGTATTGTCCTGTGTTGATTTCGCGTTGGAGTATAGACATCACTCAATTGGGAGTAAAATCCCAAGAAGTTTCTAGGGAGAAGAGAGTCAATGGTATTACTATATTGACACGGCAGGGTATACATGATTTTGCAGGACAAAATTCGACAAATACACTCAGATCTCAGCGCTAGCCTTGTACTCCCATCCACAGAACAACCGTGACGCAAGCTGTCGTATAAATTCTCGACTCAACCAAAGGCGACTTTGCGCACGCAATTATATATTCACAAATTTTTTTAGCATGAAACGCATGTGGTGGTCAATTCCATGTTCTTAGCAAAATGATTAGCGCATGCATGACTGCATGTGTCAGCCAGCTGTGTGACCGGCAGTCCACTCAAGGAATGAACTCTGAAGTTCTTCCACGAGTTTGAAACTATTAAACATCGCAAGTTTTCAGCTAGTACAGAACTGATACAGAAGTCCAGTAGAAATAATTTTTTTTTCATGTTCAGTTTAATCATTGCGTGTGTATTGTCAGTCATACATCCAGTCATCTTTTTCTGAATATTTAAGATAAAGCCTTGTTATAATTTCTCGGTTAATTTTCTTATCGCGCATTATCAATGGTTTGCAAACAGTGGGATACATTGATAGTACAAAAGTGTCAATTATTGTGATAACACAGTCTGATATTTAAATTCACTGGCGTCAGAGCGTCAGACAAGTCGATTCTTGGTAAGTAAAGTGGAAACAGGAATGCGGAAAAAATTCACCAAGGGTCCGTTGTACACTATGGGAAACGAACAGTCTAGTCAGGATATATTAACAAGACTGCTATAACAATCCAAGTATCACGCACCAAAGAATTGTTTCGTATTGCAATTCATAATGTAAATATATGTTCCAAATTCGCCACCTATAGTAATTTCTGCAGCCGTATTAATTTAAATGACGCATTGCATGCGCATTTTTGTAGGGGATAAATGACCATTACATGCGCAATCGCGCATTTTCATGGGGGATTAATTTTTAACAATTGGTAAGTATGGTGTTCAAGTATATTTGTGGCCGTTTCTATGGTGAATGTAGATATTAAAACCTCTACACTCTATATAGTTCCATTATCAGGGTTCATATAGGTCAGGAGTGAATTGAAGACTTTTCCCGAAGGATTTTCAAGGCCACGTATGATCAGGAAATCGAAGAACTAGAATATGACTGAAAAGGCGTTAGAAATCAGCAGAACGTAACGTCAAATTGTTCAAATTGCAACTATAATGAATTTCAAACAGCTTTGTAAGACATGCATGAACAAAGAAAATTCCACAAAAGTTTTAAATGTCAAACAATTTCAGAAAATATCCAAATTCCAAGAACTAAACTGCAGGAAGAATTCAAGGATTTTTCGACTTTTCTACGAACCCTGCATTATATCACAAATGCTTGCACAAATCGAGCTATATCTTAGCGCCATTAGGGACAAATGAGAACAAATGACTTACGAGAGAAACTCAACACTCTCCAAGATAAAAATACACCTAGACTCACGGCTGCGCCGGTTAGCTATTAAACTGTGTTTAAACTTTCTCCATTAAATTTAATGAAATTTAATAAAACTACTTCGACTATACCATTATATCACAAATGCTTGCACAAATCGAGCTATATCTTAGCGCCATTAGGGACAAATGAGAACAAATGACTTACGAGAGAAACTCAACACTCTCCAAGATAAAAATACACCTAGACTCACGGCTGCGCCGGTTAGCTATTAAACTGTGTTTAAACTTTCTCCATTAAATTTAATGAAATTTAATAAAACTACTTCGACTATACATGTATAGCCTATATAGGACTACCTAACGTCGAAACGAAGATTTCACATATGAAACGTCAATTTCACATGGGAAATGATTTCATTTCACATGTGAAAGTTAACGTTTCATATGTGATAGCAAAACACATGTGAAATCCAGATGTAACCTGATTTCACATCATCACATGTGAAATGATTTCACATGTGAAACTTCTATATGAAATAAAATGACATATTAAAAAATGAAATCCTCATTTCACATGGCGAAATTTTTGTATGTGAAATCAATTCATATCATCTAACGAACCTTCATTCACATGTGAAGAATGAGATATGAACAAGCTTTCATTGGTACGGGTGCAACTGCCCAAAAAATAGAGAATTTCAACTTTCTGGAGTTAGGGCCTTCGCTCGAAACGTCGAAATTCTCCTTATATTTTTCAGGTAATTCAAAATTGCATCCCTGCCAACGAAAGCTTGTTCATATGATTGGCACTACCTACACTGGTACACACAGTTCAAGAAGAATGAGATAATTTGTTCCTAAGTCCGTAAGTGTAGTTATACATGGTGCCGAAAACAGCACAAAACACACGGGCAACAAGGGTCGAGGAAGGCCAGGCCAACGTCTTAACAAAGCAAAGCAATCATAACCATGTACCGGCAAACAGCGCAATCGTGAACACAAGGTGACCAAAGACGCAGGTGACTCACACCATCGGCAGCCCACAAAAGAAGAGTCGGTGTCTGGGACAAGGCGTGAGTGTGATGCAAAGGGGCACCGTTTGTCGACGACTGATTTGAAAAATTCCATGTCTAGGGCAAGGCAAGTTTGTTGGCAATCTGTTGCACACTGGTGACTGGAGGGTCTGCAGTGATGGGAGAACGTTTCCTATTTTTATTCATTTGGCAAGACTTCAAGTATAAACACGTATTTTAACTATATCGCAGTGTAAATCTACAATGAATTTGCAACATTTTTCGTCTTCCGTTAATCGAAAATTTCCCATCAATCTTTCTCTGTGAGTTTAACCAAGGTTATGGTTAATTTATCACCGAACTCTGGTGGTGTTTTGTAACTGCTACTTATGTCACGAACTTCAAGATTTTGAATGATTTTGAAGTAAAGTTTTAAATCATCAAGTCGGTCTCGGATCAAGTATATTATAAATGAAGAATAATTTCCATGAAAACCGCCACGTACTCTTCTCCAATGAGGTTGTCCTTGACGTCAGATCGATAGAAAATATGCTCTCCTTTGACGTCACAGATGATGAAGGGCTTGAAAATTGCTTGTCAACACTTTGCATATCTCAGATACTGAGTGTCAGATTACCCTGATAAGGAATACTTGCGGTTTGACGGAGTGTGTCGGTCGACAAAGGTGATAAAATTTTAAAAAAAAATCTACTACAATTGACCATGTGTTTCCTAAATTTCGTGATAAGTATAGACTAATTCTTAGCTGTTAAAATACCAAATCAAACTAACTTTCATCTCCATGGGTACAGTGAAAATGATTATAGTCCTCAATTGTTTTTCCTAGTATAAATGAGTATAACTGTATGGCGACGACCTTGGACAATAACCCTTGAGATCATGGCAATTGATACACCAGGCGGAAATCTTAGTTTAAAGATAAAGAGCAGAGCCCAGCAAATAACTTTAAAACCAAACATAATAAAAGTAAAAAAATTATTAGCTAACGTTTCGTTGTTTACAATACAACATCTTCAGATATACCATACCGGGCATACCCTGTAAATTCATTTAGATTGCTCTGAAGATGTTGTATTGTAAACAGCAAAACGTCACTTAGGTAATAAATAGTTTACTTTCATTATGTTTGGTTTTAAAGTTATTTGCTGGGCTCTGCTCTCTATCTTAAACTAACCCTTGAGACCATTCAAGAACATATTGCAAAGTTAATGCTCATTGACAAAACAAACTTCGCAACTCCCTCTTCCAAAGTTCAATGTTATAAACAATGCCAAAACAACTTTTGGTAATTTACAATGACACAAGCACAGCATTGAGTTGGGGGAGCGGGGGCTTAATGATTCAACATGGAATTTATCATAAGGAGTATGTGGATTTTGTATATAGGGGAAGGTACTGTCGACAAGTTTTGTCCAACATTGTAGGGTTTCCACAAGAGGAACCCTAAGCTATCAAATCGGTATATATTAAATGGTGATGACTAAAATCTAGTCGAATCGTCGATTAAACTATTCCAAATGTTTACCGAGAGGTCTTATTTTTGATGGCTTGTGCAGATAGGTCAGATAGGGGGAGGGTTCATCCATCCTTAAAGGATTAGTGTCACACCATGGTACTGCGGGCTCAAATTCCTGCTGGCGGCCATTTTATGGGCCGAGTAGATCAACAGACCTGGATAAACCATCCTTCGAGAATTCTTGCTTGTTTTGGCATTTTAATGTTATTTGTTGATTTTGGTAGGATAAAAACTAAAAACAATAACAAAAGCAGGCAATACCATGGCGACTAATTTAATCCTTTAAAGGACAATATAAAAACTCAGTTCACTAAAAAGGTCACAGACAAAAAAGATGCACAGATTCTGTATTGCAACTGCAACAGATCAGATTGTTGATAAAAATAGTAGTAAACGCCTTAGTTTAGGTTACCGATAACATATGCAGTGATTTTGGGCGTACCCGTATTAACGAAGATAATACTGTGATGTATCTTATTTTGAAGTCAAAGTTTGTTGAGATTAGTTTTAAGGTGTTATCGAGTGCGTAGAATAGGATTAAACTAGAATAAAATGCTGAAAGCCATATAGCCGATTAGTAATTTCATACGGTACTTAGTGTAAATTGCAAATCTACACAAGTTATGCGAGGTAAGTCGACCTTGAAATCCACAGAGTAGTTCGGCCGTAGTTTGAATTCTCGATGATATGTTTCATGACAACATAAGCCAGTCATCCATCCGCAGGGACGCCGGAACTGGGGGGGGGGGGCAGGAGGGGGAGCCGCCCCCGTTGCTCTTTACCAGGAGGGGCAAGGGGGGCAAAGGTGCCCTTTCACTTTAAAGTATTGCCTTGGCGAAATAGCGAATTGTCAGAAATGTTAGTGCAATTCTTTTACGAATTTGCTTCAGAAAACGCAAGAAATGTAGTCATCGAGCTTCAAGAATAGCACAATCGCCTGTCGGAGAACCCCCTCACACCCCTATCATCCAATAAATAGAAAACATGATTAGGCGAAGTTGAACTCCTGATGTTTTGCACGAAAATCTGCCCCCCCCCCTTGCCTTCACATCGTTCCGGCGTCCCCGTCCATCCGTTCGTCCGCCCGCTCGTTATCCGCGTTTTAACCTTAACCTTCATTCACTAAAATTAATTTTGTGTTATCTAATTTTGTGTTATCGGAAAAACAATTCCCATAGTCACGTTTGCTTGTGGGTGGTATATTTTTAGACAATAGTCGACGAATCAACCTATTGAAATTTCACCGTGATCAATTTGAATTGAAGGTGTGTCTGGTGGGCTTGGAAACGTGATGTGGATGTGAATAAATTAAAACCTCTTCACTTTTAGAAATATTTCTTGAATTCTTCTGTCATTACAGAAAAGCCACTAATTTGTTTGAACATGAAATAACGATCCAAAGAATGTACTTTTAGACTTTCCGGAAAGTCTCAGAATTTTATAGTTGAATCTAAAAAATCTTGTAATTGTTTAGGAAATTGTCGAACACGCACAAAATAAAATAATATTTTCTGATTGTTTTCAATGTTCTAGTATATACTTGATAGAAAAAACAAGAAACACTCGTACAGCAGAACACACATCTAATGCACGAGAAAATGTAAACAAACCAGTCGGCTATTGGCCGTATTGGGTAAACTGATAACAAATCATAAAACGTGATTCATCTGGAGTATAAGTCATCTACAGAACACAAGTGTTTTTAAAATCTCTAACCATCTGGAGTCTAGACTGTTCCAATTTTAGAAGCAATTTGTTTCAACAACAACGTTGATGTGGGGTGTAGATAAAAGGCGGGCGCGGACTGACGAAAAATACATTTTAAAAATATTAAAGGTAATTTTAAAAATAAATAAATATAATATTATTAATATTAATATTATAGTTAGAAAACATGATATTATTAATATTAAATATAATAACATTAATAATAGTAGTATTATATTTATTTTTAAAATTATTTTCAATAATTTAAAAATAGTTTTCCGTCAGTCCGCGCCCGCCTTTTATCTACATCCCACTGAGGTGAACCATATTAACCCACTCACTGCGATGTGTTTACGCTAGTGTTTTTCTGTCTGCCAGTTTGCGGTCATTAAGCTCCACTTTATCATCGACTAACTCATTGTTCCCACCTGAAAAGCTACATTAGCGCACGGCGGGTCAGGTAAATTGTCAACGTTCCCTAGATATTTCGCTACATTCCGCAAAATCGTAGAGTATATTAAGAGTATATTAAGTATATCAATGTCGCGCATTTACGATTTTTTAAATTTATTTAAAAATACGCCCTTTTACCTAACTAAGATAGAATATACAGTATAACGTCAGTTGAATACTAGAGCTAGGAGCCTTTGAAACTTTAAGAAGCTTTTAGAACTTACATGGCCCCTATCACAGCAAATAATTCAAACGCGAGTTACATGTCAGTTAATATATGTCAGCGATGAAAAGTGTGTTCAAAATCTAAAATGTTTTAGCGTTCCTCTCAAAATTACATTGTGTTTACACAGTTAGCAACCCTTTTACTGTAAATGTATCTGGCAGTTGAGAAATACAATGAATAGTTAAATATTAGGGCCATTTATACGTGACAAAATAAGTCGCGACTTACATAAGACGCGACTTAAATAAGTGGAGTTATCGTATAAATGGTTCTCTACGGCTTTGGTCTTATTTATTTGCTATAGCTATAATGTTGTTTTGGTTGTTTTTGTTTTAATATGCAAGGCATTAAATTTTACGTTGTTTCAAGTTTCTGGCATGTGTAGTTAGACTTTTTGTCCAAAATTTCTTATTTAAGACGCGACTTAAATAAGAACAGCTAAAAGACCTGTTCTGATGTAAGACGCGTCTTATCCAAGACGCGTCTTACATAAGAATTTTGTACCTTTTATACCATGTAAGTCGCGTCTTATTTTGTTTCGTATAAATGGCCCTATTGTCAATTACATACAATTATCAGTGATGCTGTATATACAGCAATATATGAGCAAAACTTACTGAACTTCAGACATCATTTCTCTTTGGCGTACCATCTAAAATCTCTTCATTTTAGCATAATTTTACAGATAAAGCACTAAACATATTTTTTAAGTTTGTTTACCGCTTCAGAAACGAATCAAGAAACACGGAATAAATTGAATATAGATTACCTAGTGGAAAAGTATTTGTTTTGAGCGCGTGTTACGTAAAATACAAAAGATTCTCCTCTTAATACTATAGATATAACAATATAAAAAAAATAAAAAAAATATAAAAGTCAATATAAAAGTCAAGATTAAATCACAAAACAATAAATTGGGCAGTCTAGTCGAACTAAAGGAGTTTAACTCAGGCTATTGCCCAATTAATAGGGGATCCGCCCGAGGTACCTATGCGATTGAACGTCCTTGTCCAAGAAGACGCGAAAGTCTAACCATTTACTCATGTCAATATAAAGGTAGCACTTTCTCCTCAATTATTTTCAAGGGTTACTTCACACGATGAACGTGCGTTTTAGTCTATTGGACATTGCGCGACGAATTTTAGGTGTAATTTTACCAAATTTTCAGTGAAGAAAGCCAGGAAAATGCTGATTTCAAAAATTTTCATTTGATGGGTGTTCAGTTTAAACATTTTCAGTATTGGCTGACTGAATAAACAGTATAGGTACCTTCATAAAACAATCAAAATATGTTTATAGTTTACTTCAACGTTTGTCTCGATATCGCAATTCTTGGATTTATCACTGATAATTCACGAAGTTGTCAAAGAAAACGTCATATCAGAAAAACCGTTGAAGAAGAGAAATTTTCCGCACACTTTTTTTTTACCGTATCTATGAAGATTCAAGTCGAGATATGTAAACAAACGTTGAGGTAAACTATAAACATATTTTGATTTTTTATGGGATACCTATATATTTCTTTAGTCAGCCAATACTGGACATGTTTAAACAGAACACCCATCAAATGAAGATTTTCGAAATCAGCATTTTCTTAATGGCTGTCTTCACTAAACATTTGGTAAAGTTACACCTAGGGCGCTTATATATAGGGCGGCGCAAAAAGATTGCGAAAAATGGCCAGACGAACTGAACAACTCAAAATCGAGGTTTTCTTCAATTTCCTGCAAAATCGTACTCGCCCCAGTTTTTTTCCGCATCACACGCGTCGATCAGCGCGCGCGCTCTCGTTGCGCCGCCCTATATATAAGCGCCCTGGTTACACCTAAAATTCGTTGCGCCATGTTCAATGAAAGTCAAGCATGGTGGCTACGGCACTGCTGGTACAGTGTTCGCAACGAACGCCATTTCGGCTACACCGGTATTGTTCAACGGTTTTTGGGTGGATTTCGCCAATGGTGTTAACAGTATCTTCGTCAAAATAACCACACCCCGGACAAAGTGGAAGATAAGCCATTCAAATGGCTCCTGAAATCTTGTGTCTGAGTGGAGGTGGGAGGAAACATGACCATACAGACACATGACAAAACAGGAAGCGGGAACAGCCTTGGGTGCCCTTTACTTCAAATCTACACTTATCACAATGTTGGGCTTGTTGCAGCGGTTAGACAGCCATCCTGCCTTTTCAATTACTAAAATTCCTTTGTTGTTGTATAATTTTCAATGAAACAGACAGAGCAACAAACAGACACCATACAAAAGGATTGTACTTCTTTCCTTTCATATTTTATTTATTTCTTGGACAGGCAATTACAATCAATTCATCTGTAATAGTTTGTCGTTATATGAACATTGCATGTGCATATCAAAACCAATTTATTCATAATTCTTGATTATCAGTCGTGATGCATGTAAATCAGTCTTTACTGACTGTAGAGATATATCGATACTCTATCACATGACATGTGAAAATAGTTTGGATCTATCTTGTCTTTTGCGTGCTGTATGTAAATCAGTCTGATTAGGGGTACATCGACACTATTGTATAAATCATGTTTGTTCAATGTTTGTGAAATTCTGAATCAAAACAAGACCATAACTAGAATCACACTGCAGTGCAAGTTGTCGCACGAGTGGCTTTGTCGAACATCAACTTGTATGATGACAATCTGAATCCTCACGCACGCAAAAAGCTACGCTGCCAAGAATATTGTAATCAAACTGGTGCAGATATCAGCATAAAAACACCGAAATGCGTCATAAGGCAGGGCTGATCGCTCTTTTATCTAAACTATCAATTAATATTGTCAACTGAAGTGCTCTATTCTTGCACGCGACGATATAAACAGTGCACGCGATGTATGCAAATTATACATATTTGGGAATGAAAACAATTGGCTGGAACACTGTACCGTAGATTTGAGTTTTTAAAGCTTTTTATGGATGTGAACACATGGTATATAATACCAAATGTTTTACTAAATTGATTCAATTGAACATTTTCGATCCGCCCTTCCAAAGGGGAAACTCTGTACTCTATAATCTGGATTAATTCATGCAAACAACCAATTCTGAGTGACTGACAGGCATTCTTGATTATGTCATATATTTGAAATATCTACGATTTGTAACTTAACTTGTCACCGATAAAGTAATTGTATAGTGTTTTCGTACCCTCTTTTAACGTCTTAATCGTACAAAGATGCAGACTCCGTACCTATATATATATGAGCGTGCGTAAGCCTTGGCGTTTCAATGATTTTCGTATGGTATTCAAGATAATGTAAGTGCTACATAAAAGCGGAATATTTTTACTTCATTATTCAATATCATTATCTTAAGTTTCACGTTTGAGGACAACGGGAAAAGGCAGAGTCTAATTTTTTGGCAGAATTTCAACTTTAATTTCTTCTTCTTCAAAATTATTAGAGAGTGGGGGTTAATATAGATAGGGGAGGGGGAGGAGTGATATTGATTGGGCAAAAAGGTTCTACGATGTCACGTAAAATATGAAATGACAACATTAAACACGGTATGCACAATTAACATTTGATTGATTCCAATTTAAAACCATCATTACCAACTATGTTATAAAACATGCGAGATCTTTAACCCTATTGGAATGTTTCCTCCATGAAGGGACGGAATTAAAACTATGAAGTTTTGAAGATTTTCAGCAAGTCAGTTTTGAATTATAAAGTCGATTTTGAAGAACACTCTTTCAAGTATAAGCTTTTCACACGTCTTCATCTATTTTAAAAAGCGTTTTTTCTATATGCTTATTAAGACAGATTTCCTTTACACAAATGTGACTTGAACATTAAGAGAATTATATCATCATATTAGTTCACTGCATTTGCCAGCACTTCATTGTATCAGACTACAATGTCTCATCGTGAGATTAAACCGATTATATTAAAGTGAATTGGCAATAAATTAGCGCAAGTGATATGAGACTTAATCGCCTTTACTTCAATGTACCTCCACGCGAATGCACGAATCATCTTTTAATTTAGGATGTGACAAGTCAAATTAGTCTGTATGCAGTCTTTCAGTTACAATAGCAACATTTAATATAGTAAAGCTGTGAATAAATGGAGAAATTAAAGCTGCATTGTCATTGATCAACCTCTAAATTTCCTCCTCCCAAGACCAATTCCTGGAGAAAATGTGTGTAACCTCCAACACGAACGTAGTAAATCTTACCTTTTTAAAAATACTATATAGTTGCAGAAGTAGATTTCAGAATAATCCTTCAAATATTATTAGTTTTATCTGACAATTATTGTACAAAATTTAGTGGAGTAATTTATTTAAATTTCATCTGGCTTGTATTTCCATTGCATGTAATTCTAATCAGTGTATATACTGCAAGAGAGTCCTAATAAAGAAATATTATTATTATTATATTATATTATTATACTTGGCCGTTTAGAAATGTTATATAATGCAGCTTGGACTGTACGACTGCAGTTGAACACTCAATATTATAGTGGGTTTGTTAATTAATATAGTGCGAGCTAATTAGTGGTCAGTGCGTGCTACTTCCATTCAAAACACTTCACCTTGTGTGTGATTAAATCCTAATCCCATTTATCGGAAACCTATAAGACACGTTCATAAGAAGAAATACAAACAAGACCAAGGACACAATCACACAAACTTCAATAGAGTGTATTTATATCCTTCCTTATTTTCCAAATAAGATTTGCTTCGTCTCGTTTAGAATGGATTATACGCCGGCTGATAGTATTTTAGGCAAAACATTATTTTAACCAAGCTTAATCCTTCCTGTTGGTCGATGCACACGAAACGGCGCAAAAATATAACTGCACGAATTAAAACATTCTCTTGAAGTTTCTCGAAATTCAGCCAGGAAGGTTTTGCTCATTGTGCCATTCCGCCGATATTACAAATGAAACCCTTGCCTTTGATGTAATAATGTTCTTACACCATCAAGCATTTTCACAATCAGGCACCGTAAAAGGGGCCTGGATGTGATCATGCGGGACGATAAAGAAATTCAAGAATTACAAATGATGCCATGCATGGTATACACGCAAAGCATTCTTCACAGTTCACTTACAGTGGAAAGTTTTTTCCCAAATCCTAACTATGGAAATAGCATGGATTTTCGTTGGAAATTATAATACGGAAATCCAATTCTCATACTCATTGCTATTTCCATACTACGTATATAGTATAGATATACTATGGATTTACTGTTGCAATGGACCATTCCCCTGCAATTAACCAAAATTTTGAACTCAACAAGTCTAGACAAATATTTCATCACAGCTTGAAAGAGCATCACAAAATTAGTAATATTCCAAAGTTTCGTTGCAAAATGTTGTAAAATGTGGATAATATAGCCTTGCGAAGTTTGCAATTTTCAGTCATTTTAGATTACAAACGGGAAATGGTTACCACTTCTGTGCGTAATCTAAAATGACTGAAAATTACAAACTTCGCAAGGCTATATTATCCGCATTTTACAACATTTTGCAACGAAACTTTGGAATATTACTAATTTTGTGATGCTCTTTCAAGCTGTGATGAAATTTTTGTTTAGGCTAGTTAAGATCAAAATTTTGGAAAAGTGGTAACCATTTCCCGTTTGTAATCTAAAATGACTGAAAATTGCAAATTTCGCAAGGCTATATTATCCATTTTACAACATTTCCCAACGAAACTTTGGAATATTACTAATTTTGTGATGCTCTTTCATGCTATGATGGAATTTTGTCTAGACTTGTTGAGATCAAAATTTTGGTTAATTGGGGAATGGTCCATTGCAAATTTCACTATTTCTTTCCAGTGTTATATATGCAACGAGGCCGAGGGACTGTGCGCCTTCACAATTTTATCCCTGTTATCCCTGTGGTACATTTCAGAATGCAGATTCCTGGCCAAGCATGTTTTACACGAGTAGTCCATGTACATGTTTGGAGAATGTTTCACTTCTATATTTATACATTTCTATTACCCTCATGTTTCTATTATTATATTATTAATAAACTTATTTCAATAGATTTATCGGAAATCCAAAGCGTTTTTCACCGCCAACATTTGCAACAATTATATGCATCATGCTATTACATGCAGACTGCAGTCAGTGAGAAATATTGTTTTCTATTTAATATTGTTTCCGATTATCCGGCTCGGCTATGATTGCTGTAATGGTATCTTTTAATTTTCCAAAAACGAAAATCACAGCACGCCATATTGGGAACCTCTGCGGCTAGCTTTGCTCGTTTTCTGATATATATAGTTCTCTACCCATCGCCAGCTGCCCACACACTTTCCTGTTCCACCAGTATATTCCCCAATAAATATTTCCCGTGTCCCTATTGGTAGTCGTCCTTCAGTCCGTTGTAGTTGTACAGTATTACGTGCCGTCAAACGGTGTACTCACGTGTATCGAATATCCACAGGTGTACACAAATATTCCTAGTTGATCATCTTCGTCATGTAAGGTCCCTCCAAATCATATCCCAATTTGCGATAGTAGTTACGAGTGCCCACACCTGACGTGAATCATGAGAAAATTTAATGTAGTAGGTGGGGGTGTAAGTGGGGGTGGGGTGGGGGTGGGGTGGGGTGGGGGTGCTACTGTAATCATCCTTACTTGAAGCTAAGAGCTACAATCGTGGAAAAAACTGTTCAATAAAATGGATCGAAATTTTAGGAAAATGTGTCCAACTAACTTCATTAGATCCCCCCAATGTTATACCAGCACTTTACCCCACTCAACAACATTGTCTAGGAGGAAGGGTGGATATTTTAAGGGATCACCACCTCTATACAGCAGGGTTTGTTTACCTGAGATGACTGCAATTTTCTCACTGTCATGTTCATCTCTCGCAATCCTTTCTGCCTCTTCCATGAGAAGCACACCAAAACCCTGTATAAACAATAACTTATTATAATTACAATGTATGTAATAACCATATATAATACAACATAAAACTGCACAGACGCCCTGGAAGTCTCATGCATGAACATACAGAGGTCAATCTAAAGCAGAGAATGTGCACGCCACCCTTTCAGTGGAAAACCTGGGTACATCAGCTACACATACTTTGCTGTCATGTCAATGAAGCGATTCTTTAAAAATACAATTACCTGATGTTGAAACTTTGTTGGATCACGAGAACTGACGGGAACAACACTGCCATAACTATTCTTCATGTTAAGGACGTGTCACGTAGAACGGAATTCAGAATTTCATCCTGATGAGTTCTTCAGAATAAATTCTTCCTAATTAATATTAAGCCCTATTAAGTATTCTATGATAAGATTCCACTTTTTCCCATGTCTCAATAGATGTGATGTTTTCCATAAAACTATTATCTTCAGGCAAAAGGATACACATGTAGTTCACGAACTATAGAACACTTTCCCGACAGTTCAGGACGATATGTATCTCCTGCGCACTGACGAAGACGAAGAAGACCAATAAGGATATCTTACAACAGTTAAGAAACGGTAACGTAAAAATACTCGTTTTCAAGTACAGTGTTGTTATTGCTGTTGTTATTGCTGTTGCTGTTGTTGTCGTTGCTGTTGTCGTTGCTGTTGTCGTTGCTGTTGTCGTTGTCGTCGTTGCTGTTGTCGTCGTTGCTGTTGTCGTCGTCGTTGCTGTTGTCGTCGTCGTCGTTGCTGTTGTCGTCGTCGTTGTTGTTGTTGTCGTCGTTGTTGTTGTTGTCGTCGTCGTCGT